TCTCTCTCTCTCTCTCTCTCTCTCTCTCTCTCTCTCTCTCTCTCTCTCTCTCTCGCTCGCTCGCTCGCTCGCTCGCTCTCGCTCTCTCTCTCTCTAGCAATAAGACTTAATATGCTTAGGACTCGTAGTGCTACAGCAAAGATCTGGAGCTTGTGGTTCCTTATAGGATCGTAGAGTCAGGCACTAGCTCGACTACTGGGTCACAGGCTATTCCCTCCTGTCCCACAACTCACGACTCCTCGGTCAATCCCCTACTGGACTATAAATAAATCATTGCTCTCCAGATCGTACATCACTCTGAGACTCGTCTATCCTATCCATAGCGATGCACGTAAAAGTCACTCTCTTCCTCACACAACGTTTTACACCTGCGGCCACCTGCCTATCCGATCTATTCGCGATCGCCGATCAGACTATTCACACCGACTCACACGTGACGGTCACAGCACGTAGGCCTTTCTTCCTTCCTCACACAACTCTTTAGACCTGCGGCCACCTGCCTATCCGATCTATTCGCGATCAGACTATTCGCACCGACACTGAGTCACACGTCGTTGCACGTAGGCCTCTCTTCTTCACACAACCCTCAAGAGTCTGAACCCGTCTATCCTATCTCTACCATTCTCTAGCAATGCACATAATAACATACTAATTAAGTTACTCTCTTCCTCAATCAACCTTCTGGACCTGTCTATCCGATCTATTCGCGATCAGACTATTCAGTGACATACTTACCTTTCGTTTATTCTCTTCCCATCCTTCCCCGACCCTTCCCCGACCCTTCCATCCGATCCATTCTTGGTCAGACTTCTCGTCGTTCTCGATACCTGGAAGGCTGGAATCCTTCCGTTGACTCTATCCCCCTCACTAACTCTCTGAAACCCTCTATCCCCCTCTATCCCCCTCTATCCCTCTCTATCCGATCTATTGGCGATCAGACCATGGCCTTGGTTCCACTGCAGCACTACAATTTCACCACACTACATCATCTGAGCCGACCATCTAAAGAATCAAACGCGATAAGATGTTGGTAGCAATTTAGCACTCCTTGTTTCTAGTGCACTGGAACGTTCCCCCATAGCTTCAGACGTTGACATGTATCTTACGTCGACTCTCTTCCGCTACTACTACTCTCTCTCACGACGACGAACAAACTCACACAATCCGAAAACACTCCTCCCCTTCTCCTTCCCCACTCACGCACTCTCTGCCAACTCACCTCAATGCTATCGTTAATCTCGATGCGTGCATGCATGCATGCAACACTCTCGTCAATCCCCATGCAAGCATGCAATGCTCTCGTCAATCCCGATGTACGTTAATCTCGATGCATGCATGCAACACTCTCGTCAATCCCCATGCAAGCATGCAATGCTCTCGTCAATCCCGACGAACGTTAATCTGGATGCATGCATGCATGCATGCAACACTCTCGTCAATCCCCATGCAAAGATGCAATGCTCTCGTCAATCCCGATGTAAGACACTGTTAGTACTCTACTCGAAACGCATTTCACGTTACAATTCTCAAGTCAATTGCGTATTAATTCTTACTAGACTCGTGAACGACGAAACCCATTGCGCCATCATCATAATTTAAAAAGCTTCAGAGTTGAACCAATAAACAATAGCCTACTACCTAGCTAGCGCAAATTAATTTCAAAGAGAATTCAGAGAATTAACGATATTAAACATGATTATGCTCATCAACAAAGGCACGTACTAGGGACAACTGTTTCCGTCATCATCGACAATCATTGCCGGCTGGGAGGGATTTTTCAGCTACCATCTCCATCTTCTTCCAATAGAACGCATGGCCATTCTACCTGTACTTTTAGACGGACATTTGTCCCCAATCGACTTGTTAATGACCGTAGAGGGTGGTACCTTCATAGCCTCATGGCAGGGATCTCCCTACGTCCCACATTCCAGCATAATATGAAACCATACCGCTGTCTTAAGAGGTCTCCCACGTCACTTTCCACACACCTCCTTGCCGCGCTCCCCTTACTCCTACGTCCTAGTGCATCATTAGCGGTAGAATAGCGGTCGGACGAGCTCTTTCTGTAGCTGATCCTTTCAATTTATGTTGATCCCTGTCTGCCTTACCGTCTTCCGCCGAACATAACGCACCCTGAAAATGAGCGGATACAAGGCGCCGAGATGTTTCCCGCCCGATACAGTTCAAACTGAGGGTGCGTTCTGTTCGGGCCCGGCCGAACTCAGTGTAGCCTCACCTGAAATATCGCTCGTATACATTGATTACCAGGGTGCGTTGTCCTGGAGATCCCACTGGCAAAGAGGATTGGAATGAGTGTCTGAATCTGGACGTGTTTGTGGCGAGGTGCAGAAAACTGTGCTTGATCTGCTTTTCTGCATCTCTTCGTGCAACACGTCCTGATTCAGACACTTAATGCCGCCACTGTGAGCACAGCAGAACGACTCTAGATACGACAAATCTGCAATAATGTGCAATTGACTTGATGAAATTTACATGAACAATACATAAAACACACAAAAACACCCTGTGATTGCTTTGCGCTTGCTGTGCACTTCTGTAATAGCCTACATCAAATCCTACCGCCTTTCCTCCCCCCTCTCCCCCCCGAGGACACAGGCTACGCCTTCCCCCCCCCTTCCCCGAGGACACAGTGTAGCCTGTATACATTGGTTATCAGCCTGAGGGTGCGTTGTGCTCGACGGACTAGCATAGTCCCTGTAGGGCAGTGTAGGCTACATCCAACCGGTCCAAAAATCCCCGTCCCGGGCCGGCGGCCCGGCGGCCCGCTGGTAAACTTACACCCCGTGAACTGTGGAAATCATGAAATGCAATTGCAATTCTGCGTTCGAGTCCAGATAATCAACAAATCATGTAATTCTGACTGAAGTACCTGGGGCTGGTCAATTAACTCAGCTCTATCAAAAGAAGGAGGGGTTGCCCGCCGGGGCTACGTCTGGGGCACACCCCTCGTCATCCCCCTCCCCCTCTTCCTCCTCGATCTCCTCCTTGACCCCCTCTTTCTCAACGATGTCCTGCTCTCCCCGCTGCTCCTTCAACTCCTACTCCTCCTGCCCCTCATTTTCCGCCACCTTCTGTCCGTCCTCCTCCCCCATCCACACCACAGATGGCCAACCTCAGCCAACAACTTGTCCTCTGGTGCGGTCAGGAGTCACTAGTATGTGGGCTGCGTTGTATGATGTGGTTAGGATGGTATCATGTGGAGTGGGTCGTGCACCATGTGGGGCGGGTCACTCTATCTGGACGGGATGGTAGCAACATGACCACCGTGACAAACGAAAAAACAACACTGTGAATGTGAATGTAGGAGGGGAAAAGAAGCTCAGTTGGTAAGGCACACAAGTGGCAGTCAGGAGGTCTTGGGTTCAATCCCCATGGTGGCCGGCCTTATGTACCTTCCTCGGCAAGCTTCGCGCCCGCCACCTAGAGATATGTGGTTGGTCCCCCCAAAAGGCATTCAGCAGAGACTGCTGATGCTCATAGGGGGAGGGGACCACCACCTGAGGAGAGGCACAGTGACTGGCCCATAGAAGAAGCTCAGTCCCGATGCTACCGGCTTGACCCCTGGCCTGGCCGGTATCGCCCACCTGGGGCCACCTGCTGTAGCAGGTATCGCACCTGCTGGTGGGTGCATCTCCCCCATGTTCCCTCATTGGAGGCTCACAGGTGTGGCTGCTACGGGTTCCCCTTAATACTATAATGACAATAAAAAAAGGCCTGAAAGGCCGTCCTGTCCAGATTCTACAAGTAACGGAATTGGTTGGGCTGCAATCAATGCTGACAGAAGGCACCTATCCCCTGAGTAGCTGTCTGAATACTAATCTGATGACAGAGCTTGTGTATTAGCAAAGATGTATCATTGGGACGCTGGACCCGGTTTCCAGCAGGTGCTGCTCCCCACCAATAGATGGAGCCTCCCCGATGGTGCTAGTGGTGCCTGCTCTTATCAGCACCGCTAGCAGCAGCCCGGGTTGTTTAAAAAAAAAAAAAATAGCCCTTTTTTTCAAACATACTCCCATAAAAAATGATCGGCATCATCATCTTTTTAGCTTTCTGGTGTTTCGGAATTTTAGGCAGCATCTAGCTTTCTTCCACTGATGGGATATAGGATTTCAGAAATGGTCGAACCGGGACTGATATCCGTATAGTTGCTCTGTTCTGTGCCCCTGGTTGGCCGATACCGGAACGACGCTGGCCGGAGCTGGGGCGTTGCCCTGTAACCTGCAAATGGCAGGAGCGGGAGGTCTTGTAGAGAGATGGGGTTTGCCGAGGGAGGAAGGCAAACCGGTGGCAAATCAGGGGGGGCTGCTAGGTAGCGAGAAGAGATCAGCTGTAAGGGAGTTTGGTTAGGTTGGGATTGTCTCTGAGATACAATGTCCTGTTACAGGAAGGGCTAGGAGATGCTCTAGGATTAGAAGGCCAGAGGCGCTGATTTTTTTAATCATTATCATTAGAATCATGATCATCATCATGTTTATGAGGGATGCTGAGCCCGGTTCTCAGCAAGTTTGTTTTGGTCACTCCGGGTAGACTGTGAGGACCCCGGCCTCAATCTTCTTATGGATAATATCAGCCTTGGGCACTGGGCCCTCTTT